ACTATTTTTATTATCATTGTTTCTGTTATTTACGTCATTTTTGTTGCATTCGAAATAGTGAATGTACAATTGAGCATCTTTTGTAATTCATTAATTTGCTTTTGTTTTCTGATATGACAAATTAATTTGTCAAAAAATTTTTGCCATTTTAGATTAATCTTAAACGGAGATGAATGGGGTTTTCGTTGTTGCAATCGGTTTATTTATTGAGCAAAAACAACAGCAATATCTTAAGCGATTTTCGGTTGCTTTGAAAAATAATCGTTCAGCAAAAATAAAAAAAGGGAAGAATATGTTACAGAGTTTTTTTAGGTTTTTGTTTCTCTTTCTTTTGATTTGTTTTTTTTTTCCTTAATTTGTCAAGACTGTTAGTTGCTTCTGATTGTGTGGTTGTGGAATGAAGTGAATAGACGACAATTTTCTGGTGCAAAGAAGATGATTGGTGATATCCGAATTTGAATGCTCAATTTTTTCTTTTTTTCTTGGGACTTATTAAAAAAAAGTTGAGAATGTTTTTTTCTCTTTTTTTACTAAATTAATATTCAAAAGGGAAAAAACTTTCTAGTTGGATTAGAAGTGGATTATTGAATGAACCTTTGTGGTTATATGATAGGAGCTGAGCTGATAATAGTTAAAAATAGTTGTAGCGTAAATATGTTGAGAAGGAATTTGTCTCATTTAGACGTTTATTTCTTCGGTAGTTTTGGCGTGCTGCTTTATAGCTAATTTCTTTTCTAAAATTAGTCTAGCTTATTTTAGTTATTTCCTTTTTATTTTTTCGACAATTTTTTTTTTTTTTTTGCATACGTAATTTTAACAGCAATATATAAAATATTCGATATTTGTTTGTCTTTTTTCTTTCTCAAGTCGGCTGAAGTTACAATTTAGCGATTAAATTGACTGCTGACAACGTTTTGAAAGCAAGCAATAAATACCATACTTTTTGTTGGAGAGGGTAATCTCTGAGTGTTCAAATGTATTTTGAAACGATGTATATACGCAGGAGGAAAGCTCAAGATTTTTTCAGTGTTTTATCTGGTAATATACGCCACTTTGCATTAATGTTGCTGAGGAACTGAAGGTCAGCAATCGATCTAAGTAAGGTTCAGCTTATATGACATCTATGGAGTACGAGAGCTGTTCAGTCAACTTGCGAAAAAATGTAATTTTTTTAGACGCTACAACTTTTCTTTCAGTTTTTGGTAAGGATGCGCCAAGCTTCAAGTTGTTTATAGTTCGTTTTTAACACTGAACAATGAAGAACATCGAGAGGGGAGAGTTGCCGTTTTAGTTGATTAAATTTGTTTATGAAAATAAAAATTTATTTTTAAAGGCTCTCAGTTACTATAAAATTTCACTTTTGGATTGTGTGTGTGTATCGTATGGTTTGTTAGGTACATAGTTGCCCTGGTGAATTTGGTTTCTGTAATGACATAAATCAAAAGCAGGAACAGAATAAATTAACAAAAAAATGGTTTGAAAAATGAATTCAAAAAAAAATCATCTAGCTATAGTATATTTGCTTTGCTCACTTTCTTCAATTTTGCTATTTTCGCTTCTTTAGTTTTTTCCTAACGAAGTATGTGTGACCACTGTCATGGTTGGTTATGAACGTGCTTTTCCCTGCTGACAAATATCTCATTAAATTTTTTAAGCCTTCTTATTTTGTTCACAATTTATGGTAGGGAAATGGGTTTGAAAAAAATTTTTAGGAAGAAATGAAAGAGGTGAAGTCGCTGTCGAATAAAAGTTCAGCTATAAGTGAAACAGGCAGTGTTGTTTACTCGCAACCATCTTGTAGCTTTCAAAGCATATGGTCCAGACTCAATAATGAAGATTTGACAGAACAAAAGGTTGAAATTATGTTGTTATTGGTTTCTGGAAAATTTTTTAAATTTAGAATTATGCTTTTAGTTTAAGCAGTAATTGATTAATAGTTTTTTAGGCTTTGGCTAAAGAGATACTAGCTGAAACAGAAGCGAACCGTTCTAAAGGTGTCTCAGTTACTCGTTGTATATGCTTAGCTCCAAGATCTTCTAAGTGTCCTCTTCGAAGTTCGGTCCTTTACGACGAACGACTAACTATCATTGCACTTACAAAAGGTGGAAAGTTGTGTTGCTGTAATATTTCAAACTGTTGCTTTTATTGCTTGAAAAATTGTTGATGTATCGTAGAATAATTAAAAGACATGTTATGTTAGAAGCAATGGTTTAATTTTATAGCCATATTTTCCAGTGAAATTTTCCCATTCTGATCGAACTCATTGGGAAATGTTACTTTCAATTTATCGCAGTTTGAGTGGCGATTTTGTAAACGACGTGCCGCATATTGGGTCACACTGGGAATCAGTTGGATTTCAAGGTGATTCATATAAAATTATTTGCCTCTAACTAGAATGGTTATAGATATTCCTTTATGTATCCAAAGTACAAAGATAAATTTCTTATCGGTGAAAAGTAAAAAAAACAAATTGTTTTTAAACTTTGCTTTTAGGGATTACATCTGAGCTGGATTACTTTGTGAGAATATTATAATACTATACCTCTCTAAAGTTTTAAGGAATAGACTGTTTTTTGTTATTCCTACTTTACAGATAATGATCCATCTACCGACCTTCGCGGTGTCGGTATTTTTGGTCTTTGTCAATTACTTTTTCTTATTTCCAATGGTTTGTCAACTCAGAAGATGACTCAGTTGCTCGAACTTTCTAATGACAAAGTTCAGGTTTGTGCTGAAAAGTTGCTATTAGTTTGCCAGTTTATTTCCGTACTTTAATTCTGAGAAATGTTTATTAAAAACTTAGATATTTTTATCACAAAATTTATTAGAATTAAAGCAAAATAAAGCGTCCAAAATTCTCATATTTTATTGGTTTTCCTTGTAAGAAGATGAAGCAAGCATTATTCTTGTTTGAGCATGCATAATTACAGAACTTCCCCTTCGCAATTGTCAGTCTAAACTGGACCCAAATAGTTATTGAACGTTTAAAACGAGGGAAATTGAACAGGTATACTTAGTTCTCTTTTTCAAGATTGAGGAAGCTTAGAGGAACTAACAAGCGATTGACTCATTTAATAAGGATAAATTTGGCGATGTGAAAATAAAATATTTATTTTAGATTAAGATATAGCTGAATTATCAATGTTTGTTATACTCAAAAAAGATTTAATTAGTTTTGATATGTAGGACGAGCTTTGCTGATAGTTACAGCAGAACTTGAGGATTATTTGACCAGATCCATAAGAAATTAAAATAGTTTTTGAGCGGAATTTGAGAAGAATTTGGCAGCTTAAGTTTCCATATCTAGTTAAAGTTTCATCTTTTTTGTCTAAATAAATCTATGTTTTTTTTTACTTGGTTGAACTAAAGGCACTCGACACTAATTATAATGTTCTTCTCAAGTTGGGCGAGGGTGTTGCTCTACCGCTTCGTTGACATGACATTAATCGTTTCTGAACTAGGATAAACTTCCTCTAAATTAGTAAAGATGTCTAGTTACTGTGAGTGTGAAAGAATTTATTTGTCTGGGAAGGTTCTTTCTCAATTTAAGCTTCGGTTATAAAACGTCATTCAATCATAATTACGGAAATTTTTTATTTTGCGTTATAATGCAAATATCTTAGAAACCATAAATGGTTTTTTACTTCACCTTTACCACTTAGCCAGCGGGCGTTCTAGAGCTACAGTTTTTCGATCGGTAAGCATGTTTCAAACTTACAAAAAATGTGACTGGATTTCTTATGCTTGCTTTTTTTGTGACGAACAACTCTTAGTGAAAAGGATTGTTGTTGATGTTTTCATTTTACTATTATTTAAAAAAGGCTAAAATCAAGCCGACCAGAAACAATGCTTTTATTGAATTTTATTTTTCGATTTTGAAATTGAGATTTCATTCATCCATTTCTAAAAAACTCCTCTTTTAAACAGTCATCTATTTTCAAACTTGTCACGATTTGAGATTTTGAGATTGTTACTATTGAGAAACAATGTCAGCTTGTCGAATCAGTAACTGAGAAATAAAAGAAGGTTGACATTGTATTGAAGGGAATGTTTTTCGATGTATTTTATGACTGAATTTTAAAGCAATGACGTAAGGCGCTAAAAAGATTCATTAAAGGATTAGCCGTTGTCCAGAGATGTAGCGTTTGCAATTTGGTCTAAAGTTGCGGAACTTTAATGCCTTTGTGACTACTATTTCGCTGCTCCTTAACGTCGGATACCCCTTTATTTATGCTTTGAGTTCTCATTGATTTCTGCATATTTATTCTGTAATCATAGGCGTTCGGTAATTGAGTATTGGGATGTGACTATTATTCTAATAAAATACAGTTGTAATTTCCTTCACAACCATTTACAAAGTACTTTCCGTTTTTTTTAGCTAGCACGCCTGCTGAGGATATTAGAATATTTACCATCAGTCTTATTGAATCGTTAGCTTTATGGGCTCACTGGTTTTGATCTTTTCAAAGAAATCAATAAGTAATCTAAAATGTGCATTTCAGATTAGCAAACCAAGAGAATAGTGTACTAAGTGTTGTGAATGGTATATACCGCGGCTGTTTTCTGACATTCCAAACATTGTGGAGGGCAAGGCAGTGCACCACAGCAGATTTTTGCAAAGTTTCAGAGGGTCACTTAATGTTATTAAATTATCGTTGTTCACCTCTGAGTTTTTTCATTATACATGAGCAGTATTTTTTGAAACAAACAGGAAGGAAATACAGCTTATTATTTTATAGAAATCCGAACACTAGTGAAACGGCGACCAAAACATTTGCTCAACATGGCTGTCCTTAGCGAATGGTGAATGTAACTTGTCTCTAATCCCATTTGGTCCATTAATAACTTCTGTTATTGGATATCGCAGGATATGATCGGCAACTGCAATCCAGCCAGATAACATTTCAATAATGGAAGCCTAAAAAATTCACTTCCAATTTAGCATTGGTTATTTTCCACGCACAGTTTTGCTCTGCGGTGATATCGAACTTTTGCCCGTACTGTAAAATTTGGAAGAATCCCTCTAATCCATCTTTTCTTTATCCTCCCTTTTCCTGCGTCATACAAAATACCCTACAGAAGAAAGTAGAAAAAATAAAAAATTTATTTGATGAGCTATACATTTTCATTAACGCATACGAAAAAAGGCAAAGAAATTAAAAAAACCGATCAACTTCTTCAAAATTACACCTGAAAAACATAAGCAAGTTCAGACAATTAAGTACGACACTTAAAACCCCGTAAATTATGAGCTATCTACAACAAAAAATCAGACACCAGCAGGATAGAGCTCGAACTGTAGCAACTCAAGACTTTGTCACACTTTTTGGACTCTTACATGAATTTAACTAAAACAACACAAAAATAAGGTGCACTTGAGATCCAATCCCGCAATCAGTACGAAACCGCTCCAGTACAAATCAAGCAATGTAGAAATACCTCACTACACCACCATAGATTCTCACTATTAAAAATTTAAAGTCATTCAACGACTTTAAACTATCATTTGATTTGAAAAAACTGAAGCAAAAGCAGTCAGCACTGATGAACTTTTTAATAGCAGAAATGCATAGCATTTGCTCTAAGAACGACTCAATTAGTAATATTCTATATTAATCAATATAAAGCTAAAATCTGTTACCTCACCCATATATAAAACGGTGCGTCAGCTCATGAAAAGATGGAACTTCAAACATCGCTGAAAGCAAGGTCCTTTAAATTAAATGACCTAGAAGTCACTAGTGCCATTTACAGTCATGCTTTTGTTTGACCAAGGGAACGCGGATGCGGGGAGGAGGGAGGACTAATCTCAATATTTCTAACAATGCATTCAAGGATAATAGAAAAGAAATACAAAAAAACCAGGACCTATAGTAACTTATAACTGAAAGAGGCATATACGACATAGAATTTGGCAGTAACTGGATTAAGAGATATATAGACAAAGTTATCTCGTTTAAACCGCAAAAACAAATCAGAGATGTTCAGTCACGATGAATGTGACTGGAAATGCACATTTACATCAATATCGAAATAAAAAAAAACGCAATTTCTGCATCAGTTTACTTGATAAGAGTTGTGTTATGGGTCATAATGTACAGTATCTGGACA